GACTGAACAAACCTACTGTGTCTAGGAGATGAGTTCTCTCATCCTCTCCCCAGCACCTTTCCTACTTTGCACACAATTTCTTTGGCTGGGAAGGCTTCATTAGAGGTCCAAAGAGTTCTGGAGTCTTCAGATATATTGGGAGGCTAAATTCCTCTATTAGTACACATCTAAATCACAGCCACTTGTGTCATTCTGGGAGCCTAAAGTGCCAAATGCAATCACGATGTTCTCCCTAATTAATGTCATATTCCCCGAAGTTTCCTCCTAAATTATTCTCACAGAGACTCTCAACATTTTGTAGTTAGCTGGATGGAGAAAATACTTGGAGAAAAGGAAGGTGAAGTTTGGTTCCTCCAACCAAAGATCATAAGACTAAAGTCTTAAAAAAATTTAAATAAAACAAATATAAACCTTTTTTCATAACTCTACCTCATAATTGTCCAACCTGTTTATGGTGAATCTGGGGATAAGATCAAAACTTCATTTGCTTTGAGGGAGCATTGAACTTCTTCTGCCTTGCACATGCTCACACACAGTCATCTGGCCATGTGAATTACCCCTGTGAATTACCAAAGTCAGGAATGGCATTTGCAGGGCACTTGCAGCCTCTTTTCCTCCCTGCAAACACTCAGCAGCATGAGGAGCTGGTCATCTCATCCTTTGTCCACTCCTCCTTCTGGTTTCCAATCACTGGGAACAATCTTGGCCTAGAAGCATTTGCCCTAGCCAAGTCATTAAAAATCACCCTACAAAACTTTATGCTCTTCCTCCTCTCCTCTGTTCCAGTGACTGCTTGTGTAATTCAGATTCCAGAGCCTCTAATTTGCTCTGCTTTCACTAACTACACTAGCACCAAAATTAAAGTGAGGGTCATTTAGTCGAACTAAAGTCATACCTGTTTCACAGTGGTTTTGTCAGGGAAGAAGGTAGTTCACAGAATCATTTTTGTTGGAAAATATCATTAACTTGATTGACTTCAACCATTCCCACAGCACTGCAAAACCCACCACTTAACCTTGTTCCCAAGTGCTGTAACCACACAACTTTTAAATCTCTCTTGGGATGAGGACACTACTGCCCTGGGCAGTCTGTTCCTGGGGCTGGACAGGCTTGTAATGAAAATGATGAAAAGTTTTGGGACGCATTTGTTTTGGCAGGTAGAGAATGATCAATGGTGTCTGTTTTGCTTGTTTATCTTATGCTGAAAATCACAGCTGAGGCACAAGTTTCAAGATGCTTAGCCAAAGAGCATGAAAAATGTTCCTCCACTCCACCACTCATCAGCTTGACAGACTGTTCAAGGCAGCAACACTTTTCATTAAGTCTGGAGGCTTTGCTGCACAGAGCGAATCCGCACACTCCAGTGCCTGATATCTAGGGAGGATTAAAGCTTCCCTCTTTGACCCTTTAAGTTCCCAGCAAAGCTGACATCATCTTGGAATTATCAGCCAGGACAAATCCTACCCCAATTTAGCAAACCTCCTCAATGGACAATAGGGTAGCCAAACTACTTTTTGTTGTCACACTATGCATTATTGACAAAGTTATCACTATAAAAACACTGAGCCAAGCCAGCCAGGGCCCTCCACTTACTCCAGCATGAGAACATTTCCTGCTAACTCAGGAGAAAATACTATTAAAGGCACACGTGGAAGCAAAAGTAGAGTGCTGCCACAGGTTGTGGACCTGCACTTGCCTTGTATCAATGTTCAAAGTCCAAGAAAGGTGATCTGGGAAAGGAGGGGTCCATGTGGTAGATGAGGAATAGAAAATCCAAAGGTGAGATGTTAAAATGAAATGAGGTAGCTGTGCAGCAGGAACATGTTTGAATGTGCTTAAACTCACCAAGGAATTAAAGATGCTGTAGTTTCAAGAGTTTTTAGCTGCCCAAGTCAATACTCTGAACAGACACAGAATCACAGAATCATTAAGGTGGGAAAAGCTCTCCATGATCATCAAGTCCAACTGTTCCCTGAGTTCTGTCAAGGCCATCACTAACCCAAGTCCCCAAGTGCCACATGTACACATCTGTTAAACCCCTCCAGGAATAGGGACTCCACCATCACCCTGGGCAGCTTGTGCTGGTGCTGGGCAACATCTTTTGGGGAAAAAAGTTTCCCTGATATCGAATTTAAACCTCCTGTGGCACATCTTGAGCCTGCTTTCTCTTGTCCTATCACTTATTCCCTGAGAGAAAAGACCAACACCCACACAGGACAAAGGGAGATGTGACAGACATCAGTAGGTGGAGAAGCCATACAGAATCCACAGGGCACTTGCCCTTCAATGCCATCTGAAAAATTTGTGAAGTTATCAATCTTTTTCCAAAATGAGTAATTTTTTTGCAGTTACAAATGTAACAGAGAAACAGAAAATAGGGAATGTTTTTAGAGAATTCCAGGTAACATTCAGCCTGCTCAGAGGGTTTTAAAGAAGGTGTTCCCAGACTGCAGAAAACCACCATACAATTGCTTTCATCCTTCTCTTGCACAGGAACTGATGGTGTCCTGCCTGAGCACACAACACAACTGGTGCTGGAGAAATCAGATTCCTGAAAGAAAAACCAGAAAAGCAAGGGCTGAAAAAAGGAGACAGATGGTTTTCTGCAGCAGAGCTCCACCAAGGAAGGACAAGCATGTCCTCCTTTGGAGACACCCTGTAAGGAAAAGATTTTCTTCCCAAAAATGCCTTGCTTGTAGCATGTATAGATCTCAGATGAAAATAAATGCACTTAGCATTGGCAGTATTGGCAGTACTAGCAGCAATCAACTGGCCAGTTAGATAGTGCCTTCCTGAAAGGAGAAGTGCAAAAAGACTCATAAGCAGAACAGTCAACAAGAGATACTGCTGGGATTCAGGTTTCAGTAGGGATAGGTAACCCAACTATCCATCGTGATGTCACCATTTTGTCACCTTCTGCATGAAGCACAAAGAGAGGAACGTCTCCCCAAGAGCAGGAGGTCCTCTGCCTGCCCTGTCCACAAGGCACAACCTCACACCCTCGTGCCTGGCAGAAGCACAATGGCTGGGCTGGCAGGTTTTCTACGTGTACCAACTCTGCATGTTCAAGTGTACAGATTTTCATGCAGCTTGAATGACTGAGCTGCCTTATTGCTGTATTTCAAAATAAATGCATTTTGCATGAAATTTTGAGGCAGGTAAGAATGTTCCATGTTTGTACATCTGTTTTATATAAAGGGAAGTATGCTGTGGCAGTTCGAGAGTTGCCAACGGGTTCTCATCCGTGGTTCACTCAACACCTGAGATGAGACCATACAACCTGATTTGCAAACTCCTTTTTAACAGAGACATAAGAAACACACTACATAAGGCAGCTGGCCAGATGGACTCATGGAAGTCCAGGCACAGCTCACAGTTGAAGCACTATCAGCAAAAGATGCTCTGAGGGCTGGAGCAGCTCTGCTGTGATTAAAAACCAAGAGAAATAGTATTCTTCAGCTTGGAGAAGTCTCCGGGAAGATCTTAGAGCCCCTGCCAGTGCCTAAAGGGGCTCTAAAAGAGTTGGAGAGGAATTTTGAAAAAGGTCCTGGAATGACAGGACCGAAGCAAATGGCTTTCCACTGCCAGATATTGTTAGATGGAATATTGAGGAAAAAAAATCCTTTCCTGTGAAAGTGGTGAGGCCTTGGTACAGGTGGCTCAGGAAAGCTGGGGCTGCCTCATCCTTGGAAGTGTTCAAGACGAGGATGGATGGGACTCTGAGCAACCAGGTCTAGTGGGAGGTGTCCTACCCATGGCAGGAGATGGAACTGGATGATGTTGAAGGTCCCTTCTAAGCCTATTCTGTGATTCTAATAAAGTAACCTAGTAAAGCAAGATTGAAGAGTCCTGCAGATTATATGTTGAGCCAGTCAATGCAATACATTCACCATCAAACTGTGCAGCAGCAGACATAACATTTCACAGTTATTTAGGGCAAAAAAGCTTTCATACTATTTAATGAAAAACTGTAAACTAATGTTGCAATTTACCATATACAAAATAAAGTCATATTAAAATAATGAGCAATTAAAATTTGATTCATGAATGTTTTTTTCCCCTGGAAAATATTTTTTCACCTGGAATTAAGAACAGCTCAGCTGCAGACTGGAGGTGCTCATGGCTGCCCAGAGATACCAGCTATGCCACATCATTTCAGAGCCAACAGAGCACATTTCCACTTGAAAGAGATCAAGATCCAGACAGTAAGTAGACATATCTTCTCTGGCCATTTGAAAGGTGACAGAATAAGGCAAAGAAGAACCCAAGGTTTACCTAAATTAAAGTCCACTTTTCCAGCAGCATCTCCATCTTCTTCACTTTCAGGCAAATGTATTTCAGTAATGCTGTTCAACATTTTAAGATAGCTTAAAGTAAAATTTCTCTCCTATTTCTTCCCACTTCAGCCCTGGACTATACAGATGATGCCCTGGGATTTTACTCTCTGCTGATAGACTGGGTAGGAGGGAAAAAACCTAACCCAGAAAACCTCGTAATAATGCCTGGAGAGTCCCTGTAGCTCTTCACATTTCACTGCTTCCCACCAGACTCATGAGCTGGGGACAGACTCCTGCCAAGACTCACGCAGCTGACTCCTGCTGCATTTTGGGTAGGCATATGTTAATTATACATTAATTATTAGCTGGGATCACAGAAGGTGCTGGACGAATAGCAGTGCTTCCCTGATGAAGGAACACAGTATTTCTACTACCCATAAATGTCTACAAATCCAGCTTAACCCCAGTCCCAGTGTAGGGCTGGAGCTATTTTTCTAGCTGCATGCCATCTTTTGGGGAGAAGCATGAAAAAGTACTAGCTCTTCTGAAACAGGATTTGGAACCACCAAGGCAGTCAGTGTTTCAGGTAAATCATCTTGCCCAACCATTCGCATTGTAAGCAATATTGATTTGATGATCAATAAGCCAAGGAAGGCCACTGGGGTTTAAACTAAGCTCATGAAGAAAACAAACACAAAAGAGCCATTGAAGAAGACACACAAGTTGAGAGATACAAATAAATTTTATTTTATAAAGACAGATGAGCTTTCCTGCAATTGCCAACATAGTTTTAATGTGTCATTTACTATATGATATTCTAGTCTCACTTATTTTAGATACCTGATCAAGCAAGGATAAATCAATGCTGTTGTGCTTGCTATAAAAATATAGTGGGATCTGATACTCCAAAACTAATATGCTCAAAAATCTTAAGGATTTCTAATGAGGGATTAGACTGAGATTGCAATGAAATGCTTTCTCAATTTGAAGACAGTTGCAGACTTAAGTGCCACAGCTGTGCAGGAACTGAAAGGCTCTTGGAAATTTAAAGTACACTGTGATCCATTATCTCACCCTCAAACCTCCTGTTTGTTTCCCTTCCACTACAACTATTTCCAAGGTAATTTACAGGGGGTCAAAAAAAAAAAAAAAACAAACCCCACCAAAAGGAGAAAGCTATGACATGGCTGCAGTCTGTACAACCCTCTTCCTCACAGCCACAAGGAGCTGGTCTATGCTTCATCAGCCCTGTGATGCTGTCCCACCACACACCACCTGCTACAAGGAAAGTGGTAGAAGTGGAAGAGAAATACAGGAATAATTTAAGGCTACCTTAAAGATACAGCCATAGGAAGCCCATCTGAGCAGCTTTGTGCAACAGATACAAAAATTAACCATAGTGTTTAGCACATTACCAATTACAAGGGTTAAACAGGAACAGCAACACAACATTGGGGAGGAGAACCAGACTTCATTTGGTTTGTGCAACCTGAGAAATAAACAACTAATGGAAAAAAAAAAGTCCCATGATGCTGTGCAAACCTAATTTCACAAGCTGCTAAATTGTGCTGAGACTCTCCACGTTCACCTACGAAACACAGTGACTTCACAACTACTCTTTGGGCTGCTTTGAAAAGTCATCATCACACACAAGCTAATGGTTTTCTGTTCTATAGGAGCACGAGTGTGTGTACAAACAGGCCCGTGCTGCCTCGAGCGTGGCAGATCCCATCCCACAGGGTGCAAAACTGACCCAAAGTTACTGAATTTCACCTGAATTTATACTGGTATCAGAAGATGGTACAGGGCCCAGGACAGAATATGTTATGCTCATCACTACAAAGTGCTGTTCTTTCAGGTGTTTATTTTTCCTTCTGTAGGCAAAATGACAGCAAGAGCTTCCTACCTGTTCCTTTCCAAAGATGATGGCAGTGCTTTGAGCTTCTGTAGCACTTCCTTTGGGGAAGTTTTCATGAGGTTTGAACAGAGGAGCTAATGTGGGGGAGGAGATACTCACAGATGTGTCCAAGTCTGTACCTGAAATCATGTTCAGTGTCTCAAAATCAAAGTATCCAAGTACTCCCATCTAGCACATCATCCTGGGACAGACTGAAGCCAGCAAATTGCTGCAGAGAGGCTCTATCCAACCACTCAACTGTGGACACAACCATTAAAAGCTAATTGAAGAAATGTGAATATAGTTTTAATACAATCATTAAGGCATTACCTGGAAAAATGCATATTCTAGAACAGTGCTATTATGTATACTGGTTCTCACAAACATGTCTTGTTTTGATAACAGAAAGCTGAGATTATACATATCAGTATTTTTAAAAAGTTAATTTCAGCTAGCCTTACAGTGAAGTTAGGAAAAGACTACGTTGTGGGTTCAAAAGAAAACAAAACAGGGAGAGATAAAAAAAGCCAGACAAGATGAATTATTTTTATTCTGCTATATACTTTTATATTTCAGAGCTCACAACTGAGCTCAGATTCTTGGGTATACAATATAGAAATCAAGAGCAATGAAATCCAAACTGAAATACATACCAGGAATCACAAAGAAGGCTGCAAATTGCTTTCTCATTAGTGCAGCTGAACACGTGTGGCAGTGGTAACCTATCCAACAGCAAAATGCACCTCCAGCAAATACTGGAAGTTTCTTCCCTCAAAGTATAGATGGTTAAAAAAAAAAAAAAATCAGATGAATTATGTTAAGTGCCTCCTTTTTACAGAGGATGGAGCAATTCCACACATTCACCTAATTCCAAAGTGCTTCATTCCCAGTCTGGGTTTTTTGGAAGATGTCTGAAGTGTCTCATGGCACACTGCTCCCACTGCACACCTTGGAGGGTAGCAGCTGAACCCCATGTTGGTACTGGGCTCGTTAAGTCCCTTCTAATGAGATCTGTGCCCAACCTAATTGGGGAATGGTCAGGCTGAGATTATTAAACAGAAAAAAAATCTGTGTAATAATCACCTTAGAGGTGATTTACTCCTCAAGGTTTCCACTGGTAGGAAGAGCAAGTATGGAGGAAAAGAGGAGTGGAAAAACTCCCAAATGTCACTTCTGATTAACCAGGTGCAAGGAAACTGCAAAAAATCACACAGGTGCTCATTCTCTATCAAGTTCACACTGCCAACTGAAGACTTCTCAGTGCAAACTAGAACTTCAAAGGCTACAGAGTACAGCCAAAATAAAGTTGTCCAACTGTAGCAAATTCATGGTATTTCTCTAATACTGACTACATTGCTCAAGCAAACACAGGAATACATGGGAGAATGTAAAGACATCTTACCATAAAAATATATTAAAGGGTTTTTCTTCTGAAAAGATTAAAATAAATTTAACTCTAAATAATAATTAAGAACATAACAAACATTCATAGAAGGGGCTGATCAGCACTAGAAGTTGTTTTCAGAAAAGCTTTTATAAATGGGTTCCAATGCCCAAGAAGAAAAAACAAAAAAAACACAAAACCTCCAACAGATTATAAATACCAAACATAAAAGGACTTAAAGCAGAATGAAGTTACCTGGGCTGTGAATACACCATGATCCTGTGTTATTGTGCTCAAGTCCATTTGTCTAACACCATAGGAACAACTTTAGCTTTTTTATTTTCATAATTAATATAAAGAATAAGTGCAATTTTATTTCTATACAGATCACTGATTTCACTTCAATGTCTGCTATCAAATCTCCATCCGAGCTCACTTGTCCGAACTTTTACGAGGTCTGCGGAAGCTGGACATGTTCTCATTCAGTGCACAGATCCTTCGAGAGAACTCCTCAAACTCCCCTAGGACTTGTTCATCACACTCAACTGCTACAGCGTGTTCCACTGGGATGGAGGTAAAGTCTTCCAGCTGATCTCCTGTGCTGAACCCTGTTGCTTCCATACCCATGATCTCCTCTGCCTGCTCCACAGTGCAGCAAAGCACAGGGCTCAGTGAGGGCTGAAACTCACAGGGCTGCTCGTTGTTCATGGTGTCAGAGCACTCACCAGGCAGAAATGCCCCATTTATTGCACTAGAACGTCCTAGGAAAGATTCCTGCCTGTCTTGGGTATTGTTTAGGCTTCCATTTTCTCCATTTAAACTACTGCACAAGTCCTGGCCTTTTTTGGTATTTCTTTTGGAGGAGTCCATAGAGGTGTCCAAGGAAGAACATATGGGTCCTGGTTTTTTATCCAGCTCTCCAACACAGGCTGTGACAGCAATAGGCTGTGTTAAAGCAGAGTTGTAACTAGGAGGAGGAGTTTTGTACTCTAGTCTCTCGCTTCCTGTGCTGGCTCGTTTTCGGAGTCCTTTATCTGGAGAAGGAAGCCCACTGGAAAAGCCGATATCCAATCTGCCAAAGCTAGAGCTCTGTCTCTTTGGAACAGGAATTGCACTGGATATATGGTGCCGATCGCTACAAAAGAAGGAAAGGACAGATCACACCCATCAGGCATGCTCACGAGCAATGCAGATGTTTAACCAAAGGCTGAAGCAATTGTTTTATCACAACTCCAGGCTCTGTTTGGCCATCAACTTCTATCCCGAAGTGTTAAAACCCCAAACACATTAATGCTGTATGAATCACAGAAGACAGCCCAGAGGATAGCTGTACTGAAAACCAGTGAGGTTGTGTAGGAACACTAACACAGCTCTATGGTTTGGCAAGCCAATCACACAGGAAATTATCACATTACGCTAATTTGCACTGTTAACACCATTTTATGGGACTGAGCTGCGCTTATGGAATATTACTATTGACCATATATTTATGTATTTATGGGCTATACTGGGTCATCATAAACTCTTCAAAAGTGAGTAATAACAACTGAGCAAAGAATGAGCAAAGAATCCAACAGTGGACTTCCCTGACAGCTGCACAAAGGAGAAAAACCACACCAGCTTCACTATTGGCAGAGAGTTATTCTTGCCACGAGGCTGTCAGACCCCAAGAAGCATTTGCACAATGCTCTCAGGACAGAGTGGAATTGCTGGGGTGTCCTGTGAGGGCCAGGAGTTGGAGCTGATGATCCTTGTGTGTCTCTTCAACTCAGGGTATTCAGCAAGTGTTAATCAGCTCAATTTAGGCACAGCAGCAACTCTTCTACAAAGCAGAAGAAATTAAAGTGTCTGGGTAAACCAACATGAAAACTGAGGTGTCTGGCACCAGAAAAACAGCTTTAAAAATTGTTGCAGAGAACATACAAATTTATATTTCCCCTCAAAGGAAACATTCCTAAATTCCTTCGTAAAACTAGACCTTACACAAAAATGGGTGAGAAATTAATTAGTTTGCAGGGCCAGGAGAGTTTTTAAGAGGGTCTTACAACAAGGCTACTCAAGCTAACATGTATTGTTCAGGCATATCTAACCTTTTTAGTACAGCAGCCAAAATATTTTCCCTTCCTTACTAAATTGAACTGGTAGGATTATCTATACCAAGTGATTTAAATGTAGTAGCAGTAAGTTACTCATTCTGTCATCTACAAAATAACTTCTCAGTTAGCAGAGTAGGTAAGGGCTGCTCCATAGGGCAGTAAAGCAGGAATTATCTCCATTTGTTGAGCAGATATTCAAACTAATGCATTAGAACAAAAACGGCTTGCAGCCAGATTCTTTGGCTGACATGCACTGAAATGGACCTTAAGACTTTAAAACATGTTTTAAGCTGCTGGAGAAATATGGAGGCAGAGTTCAGAAACTGTCCATTGTTACCAATAAATATGAATAAGATGGGTTGAGCATCAGTCAGGAATAAATACAGGGATAACATACCAAATCTGATAATGGAGGAATAAAGTCAACAGTATGGTTTATCTGCTTATCAAATATTATCTAACACATCTGGATAGAAGTAAATATGTATAAAGGGTTTTAGAGATCAGCCATTCAAGAGTTCCACAGTCACTGGAAGAAAAATGAGAGAAGGGTGGTAATCCCCAATTTGAGAGCAAGTTATGATCAGTGAGAAAGTCATCTTCCCTGGATGCCTCTTCTTGATCACAGGGGGCAACCTAGGCAACAAGCTCAGGCTGAGTGACAAGTGCCTACAAGGCAAACATAAAAAGATAAATAGCTCTCTTGTAAGTAGAACAGTGGTCATAGTCTTGCAGGCAAGTAAAACAAATCCGTAAGGACTCTGGGTACAGTGGGTTAAACTGTTTTTTCCTGTGCTATCAGGAAACAATTTAATCCAGTTTTTCCCTCCAGGTGAGAATAGAAGTCATGTTGAAGTTTTAGTTCAAAAGTAATGTTTAAACAGAGGCACAGAGCTCAGAATACAAGGCTGCTATTAATACCTATGAAAACAAGGAGCTGATGGAGAGTGTCTATTCCATTTGTGTTTTCCTTGAGGCTGTTCTGTTACCAGAATTCACAGCATTCACATCAAAGTAAAATCCAGAGAAAGAATCCCATAATAGAATCCCAGAAGGGTCTAGTTTGAAAGCGACTTTCAAGACCATCTAGGTCCAATCCCCCTGCCATGGGCAGGGACACCTTCCACTAGACCAGGTTGCTCCAAGCCCCATCCAACCCAGCCTTCAACACAGGCTCCCCCACCTTCACAGGGAAGAATTGCTTCCTGATTTCTAAACCAAACCCACCCTCCATCAGTTTAGAGACATTGTCGTTTGAGCTTCACAGTTCATGAAATTAATAAAAATATATAAAAGTATATAAAAAAGAGAGTAATTTTAGGAAACTATCATCCAGTAACACACTTTAGAGACTGTCAGGTATTGTCCCCAGTGAGAAGGGTTTGGCTTGAAGGAGCACAGCCCTTTACTCTACGGCACAGCCTTGAGCTGAATTATTCAGGTTGGGCTGATTCAGCTTCCAGCAACAATCCCCTGGTTGGTCTCCTGGGACACACAGACAGGTGTGGACATCTGTCCAAAAAGAATGGCCTGTGACTTACTTACAGAGTATAAAAACTGATTTGATTAACTGTTATTAGGGCCTGTTGACTTTTAGTCATCAGGTTGGATGACACTAGAACTGGCTACGCATATGGTTATGTATAGTTCCTGTCAGAAAGCAGGATTTCTAAATTTTAAAAAAAACTATGAGAAGCCTCAGGTCACCAATTTCAATGTTTCAATTGTATCTAAATCTAAAAAGCCAGTTCTAACAGTCTGACTTCATCTCTAAGTTTTTCTGGCAGCAAAATGACAAAGTAGTTATTTTCTCCCTAAATAGTAATTTTTGCGAGTTAACAAATAGCCAGTTTGAGCATTCTTAGCCCTAAGGTGGAAGACACAGACTCCCCACTGTAAACAGGTGAGATGAAGTGACTGAAGTGAGACACAACCACTTCTGAAATTGTTTTCTTAGTGAACACATGGTGGTTGCAGTTTTGACAAAATGTTTCTTTGGTCAGATTCACCTGTGATTATTCAATCTGTCTGAAAGTGGCTCAGAGAAACTGTAAACCAATATGAGGGACAAAATACAATTTGCAGGCTCAAATAGGTATCTTTTCCTCCCCACAAAATGTATCCCGTAGGAATGTTACTGGATCACAGATGGACAAAATACTAAATTTTGATTGCCTGGCCAAAAGCCAAAATCCACAGCTACAGCTCTTTGCTATGAGAATGCTTAAAAAAACCTGCAAAAACCTAAACATCATTTGATCTTTTTGTGTTGTAAACTATGACCTCATGGCAGTAAGAATACTAAATTAAGGTGTTTTGGTTGGTTTATAGCTATCTGAAATGCTTGAAGCCCCATGAGTAGTTCAGAGCCAATATCCTGTCAACTGTGCTAAAAAGCAGTAATAGTTTCTCACCTTCTTAGAGATTACTGGTAAAATAATGTACAATAGGAAGGCTGCCAATATGAAGTTAAGATGAAACTGCATCTTTTGGCAGCTAAGAAATTCAGCTACACATTTTAAAAATGAAATCTTCTTAAATCAAGCCACCAGAGTTGTCATAACTAAGAAATTTTGGGCTCTTCTTGATTCTAGCAGTATATTAATCAAGACATAGCCTCAAAACACAAATTTAAGCCTTGGCACTCAAGTATTTTTGAGGAAAATCTTTAAATGCAGCTCAAAAGGGCATTTCCCTGCATACAGACAAGCTATTCAAAAGGAGTATAGTGTATTTGCCAGCATTAGATAAGTCTACTGTCTATTCACTAAAAAAAATCATCTTGCTGGACTGCTCAGGTTTGCAGCATGTTCTTTACTTTCTATTAATCACAAATAATATCCCTCACAAATTACACAGTGGGGAAAAAAAGAAAGTTGAAGAACAGGAGAGAAAATGAGTCAGTCTCTTGATTTAATGCAACCATAATCTAAAGAGCCTAAACTTGTGAAAGGTAAATCTGAACATGCAAAAATAAATAAAACCATTTTAATTAAAAATGTTAAAAATGGACAGGCTACATGAAAGTGGGGATTTGAAGGGGACTTCTAAAAAACAGGGTGAGCAACTTTTTAAAGAGGCAGAGAGGGAAAGGACAAGGGGAAACAGTTTTAAACTAAAAGAGGGGAGATTTAGATTAGAAATTAGGAAGAAATTATTGGCTGTGAGGGTTTTAAACTGGAAGAGGTTATATTTAGATTAGAAATTAGAAATTCTTGGCTGTGAGGGTGGTAAGGCTCTGGCACACGTTACCCACAGAAGCTGTGACTGTCCTATCCCTGGAAGTGTTCAAGACCAGGTTGGACAGGGCTTGGAGCAACCTGGTCTGTATCCCTGGCCATGGTCTGGGAGAACATGCCTTTAAGGATCCTTCCAATCCAAACCTTTCTATGATTTGGTCTCAAATGCTGGAATAAACTGCTTGCTCACAAGAAAAAGGATTTAGGACAAAAGCTGCATAGGGCCTTCTGCATCCACAAAAGCTAACCTAAAAAACTGAGCTACTTTTCTGGAAGCCAGTGAAACTCTAGGACTAAAAAAACCTGGAAACAGAGAGAAGTATTCCTAAAAGGAAACAGAAAAGATTTGGGGGACAAAAGTAAACACAGCAGGATATTGGTACCAGGAGAGGTATGAAGATGGAAGCAGAGCTTGCAGACCTGCAAGCTTGCTGCAATAAATTGCACAAGTTGGGATGTGAAAACATGTATTAATAATTGAAGTGTAATGCCTAAGCAACCAAAACAACAAAAATCTCACCAGGCTCAGGGACCCAGCTACTAAACCTTGAGGGGCAAACACTGGACTCTGCAGACCTTCTAAAGGGACAAAGGCTAGCCCAGAGCTCCAGGCAAAACAGGGGAACTCACAGAAGATTGAAGCAGAGACTTTACAGCCTGATTTGCTCTAATGGGTGTATAAGTGAGCTCTTCTACAAAAGCCATGGAGGATTTTTTGGGTTTGCTTTTAATCTAAAATGGTGGTGACAGAATTTAAATTCAGAGAAACCCAGCTACAGTGCTCAGAAAAGAAACTGAAGACCAGCAAGAGAACCAAACAAATCAGGCAGTGCAAGTGAGTACGTGGATAAGAAAACCTCTTGTGTCCCTACTCTTATCCTGCAAATAAAGAATAACCTGGAAACATTTTAATGACTACAGTTTGTGTCAGAGGGTATCAGACAACTCACAGTAATCTGAAAACAAAAAATTCCTTCAAATATTCATTTTACCAGCTAGTGGTTTGTCTGCTTGTTTCAATGTTCACAATCAGGTATTCTCCACAGGACAGTGGACATCTGTATTCTGCCCAATTATGAAAGTCTAGCCAGTTTTCCCCTCAAGCCACACTCCCTGTAAAGCCTCATTTCCATTTATATTATTAAGAAGCACTAAGAAGCATTGATTGGAATAATGAGTTAAAAAAAACAACTATTCTGGACGTGAGAACAAAATGAGGCATAGACATCCATGGGGAGAAGGGAATGGGATACTCCAGAAGAACTATGCTTAATATTCCTACATGGAAATCTTATCCAGCCAAAGAAAAGAAGTGCTTTCTTTTGTTGATGATCGTGCATCACCTACAGAAAACAACAAGATTGTATGGTGCCAAACCCTCTGAAGCATAATTAGTTTCCAGATCAGTTCCTCAGAGACAGCATATGCCAGAAGGGAAGAACAGGTATCCACACTGAAAATTATTCCCATTTCATATGTTCAGTGTCAACCCACTTCTGCTTATTCAAGACTATACCAGACACCCATGACCTGCTCCCCCTCCCACTCTACTGATGAGCAGAGAGAAGTGCTACAAATGTCACAGTCTGGCCTTTCATTATCAGATGGTCTGAGGGGAGCACACATCATCTGAGGATTTTTACACTACTGTGATGGATACCACACGAAAACTCACTGTGATATTTTCCCAGTGAAGAATGCTTTTCTTTATGCATCTTGCTAGAGAAAAAAACAAAAGCAGGGAGAATCTTTTCAGCTGTGCCTGAAATTACTTACAGAATAAAACTGCACAAGGGGCTGACCTTCCTCTTCTCAGGACCTATTTACTTCCTCTGTTGGCTGAGTTGAATTTCCATCAGGCAACGCTTTTTACAGTATTGCTACAAGTGGAAACTTTTCCTAGTCCTGTATTTGTTTTCCTTAGCTAAGACTTCAAACAGCAACCTGGAGGTGGGGGTGATGAGCCTGAAGAAGAGAAGGCTCCAGATACCTTAAAGCCCCTGCCAGTGCCTGAAGAGGCTCCAAGTGAGCTGCACAGGGACTTTGAACAAGAGCCTAGAATGACAGGACAAGAGGGAATGGCTTTCCACTGACAGATAGAAGGGTTAGATGGAGTATTGGGAAAAAATTCTTCCCTGTGAGGGTGGTAAGGCCCTGGCACAGGCTGCCCAGAGAAGATGGGACTGCCCCATCCCTGGATATGTTCAAGGCCAGGTTGGATGGAGCTTGGAGCAACTTGATCTACTGGCCATGGCAAGGGGTGGGAAGTGGATGATCTTTAAGGTCTTTTCAGCCCAAAGCATTCTATGATTCTATGATTAGATGAAAATGCAGGAGAAAATAATTGCATAAAGCAAGAGACTGCATGAGTGCATGCAATTCAAAGAGCATAAATTAAAACCATGTGAATATAAACCATCACTTGTTGAAATACACTGGGTAGTAAACTGTGCTTCACATTTAGTAAAGTTCACCTCTATTTAAGGAGAACTGGTTAAGCCTCCTGCTGAAACAACTGCTGCAAGATAAAACTAAACTAACTTTAGCCTTAAACATTCCACTGTCTGATTTGATTTTCTGCAGACAGTGGAAGATGAGTCTGAGTCCTCCAGAGTGAATCAGAACAGAAGTACATGGGATTTCCCTGGAAGATACTACAGCCTTCAGTTATTTATTAAAGTATCTTCTCATTTAGCAACAACACTGAACATGCTACAACTGTTTACATTAGCAGCAATTATATTACAGAGAGGTTGTGTTGTTTATCATTCAGATTCCTCTATGCAGCTTACTTGAATTACACAGTCAGAGACTGCCCAGGCTACAACTTGTTCTGCTTAAGCAGTTTGATACAGAAGGTGCACCTGTTACCAAACATAAAATATGGTCTTAAGACAACAATTAATTCACCTCCCTCTAGTGAAGAACATTTTCAAACAGGATTCCCTTGCTACATCAACCTCTGAGAAGGGTTGTGGGTCCATCATATGGAAAAACTTGTAAAAGCCTAAGAAAACAGTAGAATGTTGTGGACAGTTACAGAGTCTGTATTTTGGGAAGGTCAAAATCTTGCCAAGCATGCTCAGCTTGTTAAGACATGCTGCTTGAGATAAATTCTTACCTTCAATTTTTTTGTAGTGCCCACCTCTTTCTTATAAATTATAAAAAATACTTACCACCTAACCATCAGCCCAAGCTCCATGAAATTTTTCAGGTTAGGAAGAGTTTGCCTTAGATCTGGAGTACTCAGCCCATGCTGGTATCTAAGCTACAAAACCAGAAAAAAAAAATCCTAAAATTAGCACGGCTTTCCAAATCCCAAAGAATACAACATCATGGTCAGTTAAGTCACTAAGTTTTTAGAAAGTTTAGGATGATTATCCAGCAGTTCCAAGATATTTATTCCCTTTAAGAAAATGGTCCATTTACTATTTGTATTAGGAAACCCACCCAAGAACAGGGACAAAATAATCAGTCAACTTGACTCTTAAACCTCCTTACACTTTCTCCATTTACTATCTGCAACAGGAGAGCAGGTTGACAGCTTAATAAAAATATGGCCATTATGGGAAGACACCAAATTCCATCACAATGTTCTGTATTCATGAATTCCAAGTATTTATTTGTGTGTACTTGTCAGAGTGTATTAGTGCATACTGGAATCAGTAATGGAATTATTATAGTAACATCAATGAGTGAAAATACATATTGTCACACAACTGATCAATATCTGTGCTCCTTACACAGTTTATATCAGCATTTAAATGCCTCTTATTAGTATCATAATTAAATCCAGCACTCAGATGCTATTTAGCAAAGGGAATGGCTTTAAACACTGACATACTTTAACCTGGATATTGACTCCTACAAGTTGTTCTTAGGTCGTCCACATGACGTAACCTGTCACTGCTGAGAATTATAGACTCCATGTTTAACAAGTCACCAAATTAAAAATACCTCTGAAGAAAACAGCACATGGAAGGAAAAAAGTCTGTCTTTAAAGTTCGAATCTCAAAATTTCAGGGAAACTTTGCAGAGAAATGTATCCCTTGTATGGATAAAATAATAATAAAAAAAAAATTAAAAAAACCCAGCACCCTACATTCCAGTATCTCTAAGGCTATGGGAATGATGCACTACCAATTCAATAAGCAGTTCCCAGCATACATTAACACGCTTTAGAAGTCTCTGCTGGACTCCAACATAGGCACACACAGTAACTGCACAAATGTAGTGCTGATAGAGCTATTTGCTGAAACATGGAACAGTCCCACTCAACGTTGAATTTATTTTGTTTAGAATCACACACCTGCTTCCACAATTCCTGACAGCAAGATGCCGGAAAGTATCTTAAGTTTCAAAAATTTTTGACTTCTCCCAAACAATCAGTTTTTCAGAGAAAAAGACTCCTGAAATTGGGAATGATTTTTATGCTTGTCTGAGTTTCAGAAAGAAAAATTATTTTGGAAGAAAATCACCCTTAGTACTGTAGCACTGTACAACAGCTGGCCATTTATTACAGTTTATTATTTCCATATGGACAAAGCCAAATCATATGGCTTGGGTTCATATTTTCTGCTACAATGACAGAACCTGGATTAAGACCACCATACAATATAAATTACAAAACCATCACTACATTCTCCTGATGGGATTATAGTGGAATTGGTTAACTGGAGAACTAGCCTGGAACAAAAGAAATAAAGAAGAAAAAACCCACCAACCTCAAAAATCTTACATTTCTTCCTCCTCCAACAATGAAAAGTTGATGGAATACCCTTTTTTATAGTCATTCTCACATTTTAAGGTTTCAAAGCATGAAAATAAGGTGAATTAAGGGATCTCTCCAACAGCCAAGATCAGAAGAATTCATGGGAGACCTCAGTATCCAAAAATGAGTAAAAGCACTGCTTCTACTAAAAGACATTTTCATATTTCCAATAGTAGATATGCATATTAAGTAAAGTTAGGGTGCAAGTTTCATGAAACCCCTAGAAAAAGTTATTATTTAACTTCATAAACTGCATACTATTTTGCTTTGTAATAGATTAAAAGTAAAGCAATACTGCCTTGTGTCTGCTTCAATACAAGCTGCTGCTGATGTATTTACAAACCCACAAGTCGCTTAAAAACCTATCTGCCTTCTGGGACAGAAAAAAAACCATTCACAAATCAGCTGATGAATCGGGTTTTAGTCTGGATTCAAAATTATCACTCCATTAATGCAGTGAAGGTTAACTCCTGTTTTACATAATTATGTAGTAGTCTCACATATTCTGACAAAGAAATCTCTACTTTGCTGCATGATGCAGGCCACTACAGGTACAATTCCAAATAAATGTGAACAAGGAGGTGGAGGGAGCTTAAAAACAACTTTTTTTAGTTAAAAGATCAGAATTCCTCTTCCTCCTCTCCTTAACCTCTGACAATGTAAAATAACAAATATTAGTAAGGACTGGGGTTTTTTCCCCAATCCATAAAGCATTCTCATACACCTTCCCTTAAGTTTAATTTTTTTTTAACATCCACACCACATATGCAGGACTAGTTAATCCACCTCATCCAAGAAGAACATTTAACATTTAACAACAGTCGTAAGGACTGAATCCAGAGGACACCATGGAGATACATGAAGGGTTGCTGGAGCCCCTCTCTTCTCTGGAGACAGGCTGGGAGAGCTGGGGGTGCTCATCCTGGAGAAGAGAGGGCCCCAGGGAGACCTTTGAGCCCCTTCCAGTGCCTAAAGAGGCTCCAAGAGCTGGAGAGGGACTTAGGACAAGGGGGACTGACTTCTACCTAACAAAGAACCGGGTTAGATGGAATATGAGAAGAAATTCTTGGTTGTGAGAGTGGTGAGGCCCTGGCACAGGTTGCCCAGAGAAGCTGGGGGTGCCCCAGGTTTGGAAAGACGGGGCCCCAAGGCCAGGCTGGATGGGGGTTGGAGCAACTTGATCTAGAGGGGGTTTCCCTGCCTATGGCAGGAGGGTGGAACTGGATGACTTTAAGTTCTGTTCCAGACCAAACCATTCTATGATTCCCTATGACTCGTTACAGTAGGATTCACACAAGTACTTCTTAACATCAAAATCAATTTTAAAAAGAGAAAAATGAAGGAAGGAGCTGCTTTGCTTGTAAGAATTAAGAGGGCAGGAACACAAGAGCAGATAGAGGTAACTATGTGCTGTCTTAATTCTCCTAAGAAACGGTTCAAATTTCAATTGTTGCTATTAAAAGTCACTCATCTCCACACTAAGTTTCCAATGTAATAATTTTCAAAAGTAGCATTTTATTTAAGATTTTAAAGATCAGATAAATTCTTCAAGATATTACAGACCCAGCATCCAAAGAAAGTGTGCCTATTTTAATTGGAGTGAAGAGGTGTTGTCCAATATTTGCATTCACATAGAAGACCATGTATTCCCCACAGGACTTCGAGTAAATCGTTAATGATGTTCCAGTGATAAAAAATTAATTGTGATTTCTATACCAATATTTAGCTCCTATGCACAGCTTTGTTTTCCCAAGTGCTGCTCTCATATTTGTTACTAGCAACTCTTACTCCACAGAAACAAGATATAGGAGACAAGATGCATCATATTTTATAAAGTTCAAGGCAGAAGAACGTAAAGAATTATCTGTACAGAGAAATCTCAAGAAACAGGATAATACATTTACTTTAAGGCCAACTTCTCTACAGAAAAGGAGCTTGACCTACCAGTGGGTATTTTCTATTATACCTATATATTCCAACATCACAGAAAACCACAAATGTTAAAATAAGCTGCATTTAAACAGTGGTTCTCAGAGCAAAAAGTAGATTTATTATTTCAAAAACTGTATTATCTTTCTAATAAAGTGTTTAAAGACTAAATTTCCTTAAAAGAATAATATCAACAAAACCACAGCATTAGTTGTAGGTGAGGCATGACAAATTGAAGTTAAATTGTAACAAATTAGGCATAATTATTTTACACTCCAAGATGAGAAAAAATAATATTCGGTTGCTCCAGTTTCTACCTGTATTTTATTCTCTGCAATGGTCTGAACTTACACTGGAAGGTGAGTGAACCAGCTGTGAACCAGCTCCAATCTGAGCATCTCTACTCCACTGCCAACCAAAGAGCTTCTAAGGATTCATTTCATCAATCAGACTCCTAGACTTAAAAATCGTGACCTAAAATTATGTTAAACAACAGAAAAGCTTACTGCCTTCCTAAAGGAAACAATTCCACAGCAAAATGTTCATTCATCAAATCTACCTGTAGAGATACATAATTTGTTAACTAACTAAAATACAAACCTGCAAAAGTTCAGTTACTTTCCTATAAAGTCTATAAGAAGTACTTGGACTACTGAAGTTTTTCAATCTAGCTGGCTTTAAAATAAACCAATTAACTATCTTTCCATTCCTGGGTTCTTGCAGGTTGCACCCACGATCAAAATTAAGAGGTTTGCCACTCTATGGGTACTCTTAAGAAAAACAATTATATCCTGCATTTATGTGCAAAAAACAACAGTCCACTTCCTATCCTAATTCTTGCAGCAGTATTTAATAACTAATTGTATACAAGCATATACATTTACTTCCAGCCAGAAACCACAGAGTACCTGGGCTCAAGTAAATTTTTTTGGAGAGGGGAGAGTGCAGAATGACTCCAATTCTAACCTCATCTGTTCATCATTTCTCACACTGTTTTCCCAGCCATATTCATCTTGTTCTAAGCCATGTGGAAACAGTCTAACAGTCAGAATATGTTATTAAAGCTCAAAATATAAGCCATTTTAGTACATATTGTGCATAATATTCAAGTCTAGGCCAAAATCTGCTGTATTTTGGACTTCCCTTAGTCCCCACTGCAGGCAACTGGTTCTTGATGTTGTAGCAGTAGAGTACACAATAGGTAAACTCAATCCACTATTACACTAGGCAAAGATCTTGCAATATTAAGGCAGCCAAAACCAATTTTGAATTATTTTCAGCTATATGAGGAGTTTCTCTTTATAGCTTCAAGAACTTCAAAAAACCACCTGCTCCACAAATGTGAAAACATACAGAGAAAAATAGAAGCAAAACTATTGTTTCAATCAAATTTGCAGAGCTGGCCACAAGCCAAGCATTTGCATAAGGCTTTCAGAGAATGTCAAACACTGAAACATTAAGAATGTCAAACAGAAATACTAAGTTTTTGAAGTTTTATTAAAATGACATAGTTAATTGTTTTACAAGATCCTGAGTGACTTTTCAGAGTACGACAGAACACTGACAGA